CTATCTATCTATCTATCTGTCTATCTATCTGACTATCTTGATATCTATCTATCTATCTGTCTGTCTGTCTGTCTATCTAACCTATCTGTCTCTCTCTCTCTCTCTATCTATCTCTCTATCTCTCTATCTATCTATCTATCTCTCTATCTATCTATCTATCTACCTGTCTATCTATCTGACTATCTTGATATCTATCTATCTATCTGTCTGTCTGTCTGTCTATCTAACTATATATCTACCTATCTAACTATCTATCTACCTATCTCTCTCTTTCTCTACTACCTATCTATCTGTCTATCTATCTGACTATCTTGATATCTATCTATCTATCTATCTATCTGTCTGTCTGTCTGTCTGTCTATCTAACTATATATCTACCTATCTAACTATCTATCTACCTATCTCTCTCTTTCTCTACTACCTATCTATCTATCTATCTATGTATCTATCTATCTATCTGTCTGTCTGTCTGTCTGTCTATCTAACCTATCTGTCTCTCTCTCTCTATCTATCTATCTCTCTATCTCTCTATCTATCTATCTATCTGACTATCTTGATATCTATCTATCTATCTATCTGTCTGTCTGTCTGTCTATCTATCTAACTATATATCTACCTATCTAACTATCTATCTACCTATCTCTCTCTTTCTCTACCACCTATCTTTCTATCTATCTATCTATCTTTGTATCTATCTATCTATCTGTCTGTCTGTCTGTCTATCTAACCTATCTGTCTCTCTCTCTCTATCTATCTATCTCTCTATCTCTCTATCTCTCTATCTATCTATCTATCTGTCTATCTATCTGACTATCTTGATATCTATCTATCTATCTATCTGTCTGTCTGTCTGTCTGTCTATCTATCTAAATATATATCTACCTATCTAACTATCTATCTACCTATCTCTCTCTCTCTTTCTCTACCACCTATCTTTCTATCTATCTATCTATGTATCTATCTATCTATCTGTCTGTCTGTCTGTCTATCTAACCTATCTGTCTCTCTCTCTCTCTATCTATCTATCTCTCTATCTCTCTATCTATCTATCTATCTGTCTATCTATCTGTCTATCTATCTATCTATCTATCCATCTCTCTCTCTCTCTCACGCTCTCTCTCTCTCTCTGTCTATCTATCTCTCTATCCCTCTATCTATCTATCTATCTGTCTGTCTATCTATCTATCTATCTGTCTATCTATCTATCCATCTATCCATCTCTCTCTCTCTATCTCTATGTGTCTGTCTGTCTGTCTATCTGTCTATCTATCTTTCTTTGTATCTATCTATCCATCTATCTATCTCTCTATCTCTCTATCTATCTATCTATCTGTCTGTCTGTCTATCTATCTATCTATCTATCTACCTATCTATCTACCTATCTATCTATCTCTCTATCTCTCTATCTCTCTATCTCTCTATCTCGCTATCTCTCTATCTCTCTATCTCTCTATCTCTCTATCTCTCTATCTCTCTATCTCTCTATCTCTCTATCTCTCTACCTCTCTATCTCTCTATCTCTCTATCTCTCTATCTCTCTATCTCTCTATCTCTCTCTCTCTCTATCTATCTATCTATCTGTCTGTCTGTCTGTCTGTCTGTCGGTCTGTCCGTCTGTCTGTCTATCTGTCTATATCTGTCTATCTGTCTATCTGTCTACCTGTCTATGTCTTCTCTCTATCTCATGATCTATCTAGCTAGTTATCGATCAATCTATCTACCTGTCTTGTCTATATCTGCATATCTATGTATCTATCTCTCGATCGGACCATCTGTCAATCTGTCTTTTGGCAAGCTGTAGAATCCACAGCGCGTGCCACAAAAATGATGGCTCAACGTACAAGAGTGGTCCGAACGCGGTGTGCTTTTCGCGCTTTGACATCGAAATTTGCCTCGCACCACAACGGCGTGCACTTTTTGCACATTTCAAGGTCTGACAGCGCTCCGAACCTGACGCCTTTGCGCATTTGGGAAATAAAATGTGCCTCGCGCCACAACAGCATGCAATTGTTCGTCTCTCATCCCACCAAATGGCTCCGCACCCGCCGCTTTAGCAAGCCGACTTTTCGACCCTCCCGGGCCACAAAACATTGGAAAGACATGGAAAACACAATGTGTTGCGATGTGTTGCGGCTTTTCTACCTTTTTCGCGCACCTTGATCTTCTTTCTACTGACTCTTTTCTCTTCTCTGACTGCTCTCACCACTGCTGCTGCATCTGTCCATAAGTTGGAAATTTAACTTCTATACTTCCTTCGACAAGACTTCTCTCTCTCCCTCTCTCTCGCTCTCTCTACAACTTCTATGATGTTGGTATCTGTCAAGCATATCTGCCGCGGTTTTGCGCAGCAGGCGCAACACTCTGTGCTCTCTAGACGGGTTAGAGATTGCGCGTCTTGGGTGTGCAATCAGCAAAGCTCTTAAGGTGCATCGACACCGAGCTGAAACCATGTGACAAGCGCAAAATTCCTAAATCCTTCGCAAGAAATTCGCAACTGCTTGAATTGAAATGGCAACCAAACAATTCCACTGATGGCAAAAAATCGGTCCATTTTAAGTTCCCTGCCAGAGTTCACCAACGCCAGTTTTGGTAGCGGCCCTGGCACACCACATATGGGAAAATGGCATGTCCATGCTGCCCTAATGTTACGTAGTTTTAGCATGCAGATCTGATTGACCGAATTCATCCTAATTCGCCATCTACACAGCTCGCGGGTTTCCACAGCACCCAGCCTCCCATCCGCCATAACCACCTTTGCCGTAGCCCTTGTCGTAGCCCTTGTCATAGCCCTTGTCGTAGCCCTTGTCGTAGCCCTTGTCGTAGCCCTTGTCGTAGCCTTTGTCACCAAATGGTGAAGCGGGCCGCACCTTCCGAGCGAACTCTCATTCTTCGGTTTTCTGCGAGTTGTTCTTGACTAATCTTGACTAATCTTGACTAGTAGGAGTAGCATGGAGTAGCTGTCCTGTGATTCCAGTTATCGCTGTATGTGATTGCAGTTTGTGTTACCTTTGTTGTTTTGGTCGTTCCTGACAATTATATCTCTTGTTGTTCTCCGTGTTGCTCTTCTTGTTGTTATCGTTGCTCCTGTCCTTGTTCTTGTCATGGCTCTTCTTCGTGTCATTTGCCTCTTCTTTCTTGTCATTGTTGTCGTTGTTGTTGTCGTTGTTGCGATTCTTGTCGTCTTTTTCTTCTCCTTCTCTTCTTCTCTTGTTCTTCTGGACAATATTTTTCTTGTTGTTGTTCGTCTTCTTCTTGTTTTTGCTGTTGCCGTGATTCTTGTTGTTCTTCATATTTTTGGTTGTGTTCCTCTCCTTGCTGTTCTTCTTCTTCTTTTTTCTTATTATTTTTCTTCTTCTCGTCCTTCTTGTCCTGTTGTTGTACTTGCTCCTGTTCTTGCTTCAGAGAAGTGATTTTGGTGGTTGTGATGAATGGAGTGATTGTGGTGATTGTAGCGGTTGCAATTGTTGTACTGACAGTACTCGCGGTAGCGTCAGTAGCTTCTGTATTTGTTTCTGGCTACTCTGGTCACTCAACTTACTTTTGGGTCCACGGCGGAGGGTACATTACTCAATGACCCGCTAGGCTTGTCAAACAGAAAGCATGTATGTCAATGTATGTGCATGTGTCATATTCACCAGAACTCGGCCAAATGTATGTTGACATATGTTGACACATGTTAAATTCTTGTTCGTTGCTTCTTGCGGTTTGCAGTAGGTATTCCAAGAATTTCCAAGACCTAATTAGGACCAAAAGATCTTGTGAGAAAACCAAGGCAGCTAAGTACTGAATGCAATCTACAAAAATGTAGAATTGTGGTTTGTTAGTCGTATGGCGTATGGTCCGGTCTTGCTGTCGCCCCGAAGGAAATGAGAACTTCAAATCTGGGGTAGCTCAGTTGATTGTCAGTTTCACTCCAGATGTGTGCTACCCAAGAGGACAGTCTTCCTAAAACTCTTGGCGCCAAAAACTAGGTTCTCTGTCTTTATACCAGGATATACCAGGTGTTGCAAAATGCTGCTGATCTGCGTACTTGTGACTTGTGGCCGAAGGGGTGAATCTGACAAGCAGAATTCAATCTCTCATCCTGAAATAAGCTGAAAATAACATGATCATACATCAACTCTACGATAACCTGAAATCTGTTTCGCCATGTTTCGCCATGTTTCGCCATGTTTCGCCATGCGCCAAGATCGTTGAAGTGCCTGGGAGCTGTAGCCAGGACGCCGTGATGCTGCCATGACTTGCTGAGACAACGTTGGAGCCTTGGAACGATCTCAGATGATCTCGGATGATCTCGGATGATCTCGGATCTCCACGTCGGGAGATGTCGGGACACGAGTTGACACGAGTTGACACGGGTTGACACGAGTTGACATGTCGAGATGGGCACATCTGGGCACATCTGGGCACCTTGTTCCGACTCGTTCCTCGTTCCTTTTGGATGTTCTTTGAAACAAGAATTCTTTGTGGAGTTTGGCAGCGTGGCTTGAAGTCTCCAACACATCCTGAGTTCCACACATTTGGTCTTGCCTGAAGCTGTAAAAGCAGCTGGCAAGCTTCATTTAGTTAATTATAGTATATTATAGTTACCCATGCCAAAAGTTGAGCAAAATCTGCCGTCTTAGACAGATTTAGACAGATCGTGGAAGACTTGGAGTCTGAGTGCGAAGCATTTTGTCCTCCGTGTCCTCCGTGTCCTCCATGCCCTTGGATCTTCAGCTTGGCAGAGTCGTCGCCCATATCGATGCGCCGATTGCGGTCTCTACGGCTTTCCTGGCCCGCTCGTAAGACAGACACGACTAACATGACAAACTCAATGCCTCAATGCCTTCAATCAAACATAATCAAACAATACGGACAACACCATCTTATTGTCTATGGATGAATCTCTGTGTCACACATTGAATACACATGAACGCCATAGCCAGAACACATGGTGTACTTCGAGTGTTGACTTACAATCGGAAAAAGGACAAAACAAAGTCATGTGACATGTCTAAAAGTCTAAAACTGTGACTGGTCACGTTCACTGTCTGGCAGATATGGGGAGGTGATTCCATGGTGACTCACTTTCGTGGATGTCAAAGAGTGCGGCATGGTGTGGCAAATGCTGAATCAGCAGCGGACAAATCAGACAATTCACCGTTTCAGTCCAATGGAACAAACACCAGCATAAACTTGATATAAACTTGATATAAACATAAATATCATAGAGTCTATAGAGTCTATAGAGTCTATAGAGCATAAACTAGATCGTGACCTAGCGCTGATCGCAGAGCTCGAAGGGACAAAGTCGGACAAAGTCGGACGAAGTCGGACAAAGTCGGACGAAGACACAACGAGGTCCACCTCCACAAAGTTCGACAATGTTCGACAAGTTCGACTGCACCTCCGTCAGCATCACGAACAAGTTCCTGACAGCTCCACCCAGGAAGCAGCTAAAACCGCAACCGGAGGCGACCGGAAGCGATCCGAGGAGAAACATGGAGAAACAGAAAGCAACACGACTGAAGCAACGGGAAACTGTGCTGTGACAAGCTGTGACAAGCTGTGACAAGCTATGAGTGGAGCAGAAATAAATGAGCTAGTGTCACTGTAGCTTAGCACCATGTAGGAACATGGATGTATAATATTGTTTGATATATTGTTTGATATGGAAAATGCGACGAAAATATGTGGCATGCGGAACTCTGTGGATCTCGACCCGTCTCGACCCATCTCGATCTGTCTCGACCCGTTTCTTTCTCAGCCCGTGGCGTGGATTCCAAGTCTTCCGGGAGCTGCGCTTCGAGCACCTCACAGCCGAGCCAAGATTCCGACTTAGCCGCTCTTAGCTTTAAATCCTTTAAATCCTTTAAATCCTTTAAATCCTTTAAATCCTTTAAATCCTTTAAATCCTTTAACTTGTGCATACTTTTACCATCACTATCCATTCTTATATATATTCTAAATTAGTCTTATGTGTTCCTAGCGGTACTTGGAGGATGGGTATCTGAATAATTTGAATAATTCCAAATATGTCCAAATATGTCCAAGTCTTCCGACTGCGGCATGGTCAGGCCTTGCTTTTGCCTGTGATGAGAACGGTGTCGCGCACCAAATCCACAACCTCCTGACACGCACCAAGTCGTTTACCCAGCTTCTGAAGCAAAGCGCACAATTCCTTCACATTCAATACAAATCCGACACAAATCCCATATATACAATGAATTACAATGATATGAGTATGAATTCCATGCTGGGGAATCCAGTTTCGTTTCAGATGCATATCCCAAATCCGGTTGCCCTCAGAGCGTCCTCGCAGTTCTCTACACCGAAGGCCTTTGGGTTCAAGGCCTGCGAAACTGGTAAAGACGAAGATAAACATAGAGATTCGAAAAAAAAAAAGCTAAACACAAAAAAAATACCACTCAGAGTGAGATGAAAAGTGTTTGACTTTAAGAATATGCCATGTTCACCTGCATGTGTCGTCAATCTTCATGTTTGTTTGCACCTTCCATTTTCACATGTTCATTAAATGTTCTGTCATTTTCCCATATTTCTACGGCTTGGGCAGCATGAAGCTAGGGATGTTGTTGAAATATGTTGAGCTGAAATCGTATTGGATTCGCTGCATCAGCCTCTTGAAACATCTCGAAACCGTATCAATCTCCAATATGCAGGGTCAAACACTCAACTCATGACTTTCAAGAAGGAATGGCACCACACCGGCACTGGCACCTTCTTGTAATATTTCTGGTAATAGAAAGGAAGGTGTTCCACTGGAACTGCAACCTTTCAGCATACTCAGATCACAGCTTCCAGATGCTTCCAGCATGCTTTGGGCTGCCGGGAAGAATACACGTCGGGAATCTTCAAACGGCAAGTGTAACATGTGCAACTAGTCGAACAGTATGAACAGTAGAATCTTAGAACGGGAAAGGAAATCGCTTGGGCCTGGAATGCAGTACCCAGTCGCAATATGTCGCAATCTCCCGGTCCAAATGAACCCAACATCGAGCAAAATAACAAATGGATAGAAATGGATAGAAATGGGGGAAATGGTGGAAATGCGACCAACATGGCTCGCAAGATGTTGGAAACGGGAAAGGTTTCGCTGAACATTTCGTCAATAGACTGATGGACTGATGGAGCGAAATCTCAGATAGAGTTGCTCCGAAGGGCACTGGCAGATGAAAATTACTGTGCTGAAAGTGCTGAACTCAAAAAGGAGAAGGGCAAGGCAGCCGATTCTGTCCCTGCAGCTTCATGATGATTGAGGGTTCATGACTCGTGTGCACGGCCTATGAACGATATGAACCGATATGAACCGATGTGAACCGGTGCATGGTGGAACTTTACTCTGTGGCCTCTGCCTTTCTGGTAATATGTAGTGAATTGGAAGAATATGTTGAACGATTTGTGTAGAATTATTGAATTGTGAATTGTCGAACTTTTACTGTTGATTTTTGTTGCGAGTTCGAAAGCCGTTCCTCCACTCCTGAGATTGCAGCTCGGTCTGGGTCATTAGAATCCTTGCTGAAGGCGTGCGCCATCCTCGACGCACAATGGAGACGAAATCATCGAACCGAATCTAACCGATCATCAAACATGTCGGCCTATAATTATTTGATAATTACTTTGATAATGTTGATAGTACTTGTATACCATCGTGTACGACATACTTGTACCATCACACGATCATCGTGTATCTTTGCGACAGAAACATGTTCTCTTTAGAAAATCCTCCACACCGACTTTGATTTTAACGGCACGATCGTCCCGAATCGCCCACTTCTCTGACATGGTGCACGCTTAAGTGCACGCTTAATGCACGCTATGTATCTCTCAATATCTCTCAGATTCACTCAGTCCAAGTAGCAAATGGAGTTCATAGCGCGCACCTAGGTTCCGAATGGTTCCGAATGGTTCCGAAATGTTCCGAAGTGTTAAGCCCAAGCGTCGGGCTCCGAGATGTGCAAATCAACGGAAACATGAGATACGACCGGGGTGGATTTACAGAATCTTACAGAATCTTACAGAATCTTACGCTCGCTTTTTTGAATCCATCTTCAGCATGCTATTGAAAGGCTCACTAAAGTCAAACTGCCTCAAAAGCTGACTGTCTCAGGCTGGCCACTCATGAGGGTCCAATCTTCAAAGCCGAAAAAGGCGAACAATGGCCTTGGAAAGTCGCCAAAACCACCAGTCGAACAGTGGTCCCCTAGTTTCAGCAATTCGACAGTCCGGTTTTCCCCAAGGCCAAAATAACAAAGGCAAAGGCAATGCCTCTTAATGCCTACCAAAAATCTTGGCAAGATCTGGGCAGGTCCTTTGTCTCCTTCGAATTGCAGACTGGACATGTCAAATTGATCTGGTCGATCCTCGTTTCTCGACATTCGACACATCGAGGACCTGTCTCTCCACCGCCCACGTCTGAAACGTCTTCTACGCCGAAGACGTCCAGGTGATCGAAATCGACCTCAAAACATTCACCACAACAAAGAGCAAAGACCAGCAAGATCAACAAGATCAACAAGGCACAAAGCGAGGACTTGAGTAACACATGTAAAACACATGTAAAACACATGTAAAACACATGTAAAACACATGTAAAACACATGTAAAACACATGTAAAACACATGTAAAACACATGTAAAACACATGTAAAACACATGTAAAACACATGTAAAACACATGTAAAACACATGTAACAAGACCGAAACAAGACCGAACCACGAACATTCTCGCTGCGGAATTCCCATGCGGCCACCAAGGCGACAAGAAATTAGACGAGACAAGAACATTTCATGCGTTCTGCGATCTAACTATCAGAACCATCACTTATCCTTCAGAGATTTTAAAAATTGTCTTCCCATGTTTTCCAACTTAGAATTCCAAGCCCGGTTCACACACAAAGCCACCAGAACTTGAAGGAGACGAGAACAGCAGAGTGTCGCAGGACAACAAGTACGCACTCTAAACACCAAAGCAGCGTTGACTATGCATTGCAAACCAAATACTCAAGCGTATTTAACATGGTTTGAACTTTGAACCCATTGTATGATAGATTCACCTATCTACTGGTAAGTCTATGACTATTTTCAATCTAATATGGTCTATTTCGGTTTATTTCAGGGTGTTTGGGCTTACTTTGTATTTCATCATTTTCCGGCTGCTCGTCACATGAGATTTTCTGCCGGTCCCAGCTCTCTCCTTCTCCTGATCATAGCTCTGAAAATCATTACATCCATAGGTGCCAAATGGCTGCCAATCTGAGATGGATGATGATGGCTGTCAAACAACATCGATGACGGAACAAACAACAGATCTGCTGCACCTCACCAACGTCTTTGTCAACCTACGCAAGGAATCTTCGAACGCTGACAGACTCATGAACCAAGGAAGATCAAGGAAGATACGAAACATTACGAAACACATTCCATCGGCACAGGTTCGACTGCCGTTCGTGCCTCTGTGGCATTTTTCTTGGCCTTGGAACCAATCGATTGCAAAAACAGATAGAAAATCGATTGCAAAAATCGATTGCATAAATTGCATTAAGTTTAATATAGTTTAATAAACATTCCGTCGCCAATCGAGTGCATACTTGGAGGCTCCGAGACCAAGCAATCCACTTCTGCCTTGTAGACATTCTGCTTCGCTTGGTAAGACTGCACCACCTGAGAGATTAGGCGTCACTGGGTCGGTTATCACTTTACTGCGGGATATCGTTGTTGGACGAACATATTCAGCTGTCTTTAATATCACTGTTTTTTAACATCGAGTTCACATGAAGTTGCTGAAATTCCTGGCTTTCTAAACAACCTCTCAAACAGGTCCAGAACGGTCTGTCTCTGAGGCCCCCGTGCTTTTTGCCATTCTTTCCACTTGGCATTAAACCACTCTCCGGGCACCAAATCTGGAGACGTTGTGCTGACATAGTTTTAAGTAGTAACTCAATGACTGTGATATGAACGTAGCAATACGTTGCAGTATGATGCAGTATGCAGTATGTATATTCTGATTTGCATTGCAGATGCATTTCGTTTGTCACGTCGCCTTCAAGCCGCGAGGTCAGCTTCTTCATCTGCCACACAATCCACACTAATTCGTCACTTACATTAATATCATTAATTCGTCACATGAATTCTATGGCTTAAAAATGCTTACAGCTATGGACCATCGGATCGGTGCAGAGGGCAAGTGAGACACAAAACGAGACACTTACGACACTACGGGATACTAAACTGGATACTACGGATGATTAAAAGCTTTGCAAAGAACTACGAAACTCACGTACTTTTTCTCAAATCCCCATCCCAGTACGCGTTGGTGCCCGTCAAAAGTCTTCTCAGAATTTCACTGCAAGGTTTTTCAAGGCGAATGTTGCAACCAATCAGTATATGTTTACCTGCAAAGCGTATTAAGCGTATTTCATGAGAAACTGCAGTGCCATTACGGGTGCACAACTGTTTTTGCTTTGCAACTGCTTTTGCAAACTACAGCTGAAAACCAAACGCGCAGCTCGAGGAAAACAAACAAACAAATCGCGTCGAGATCTCTCGAGTGTCGTCTGGGACCTCCCATTTTGTTTTTGGAATCTCCAAAACTGCTCTACAAATCTCTACAATATGTTCCTTCTATGTTCCTTCTATGTTCCTTCTATGTTCCTTCTATGTTTTCTATTGTGCGGTTCTGGCTGAAAACCACAGTAAAAACGCACCGTAAAGGCTCGGTTAAAGCTATGCGATGATTCGGAGTGTTTTTGCAGCAAGGAATCATATAGGCACCTAAAGATCCTAAAGGACAGAATCGATAAACGGTTCAAACTCACGCCATAGGAGAGCTGGTTGTCATCTTGTTTGGATATGTTTGGATGCCATGGATTGATCTGTCATGATGTCACGACAGTCACGACAGTCACGACAACGACTGCAACGACTGCAACGACTGCAACGACTGCAACGACTGCAACGACTGCAACGACTGCAACTGCGCCTGGATCCATTCGTTCAGATGTTGCTTCGCGCGGTCCTCGTCGTGCCACACCCAGCGGATCTCGTCGAACTCCTCCTCTGGAAGCGCCGACATGGAACATTGTAACTGGCCATGGAAACTACTGCATTACAATTTAAATATCATCAAAACATGCGTATATGATGTACATGTACTTGAATATCTTATCATATCTTATCATATCTTATCATATATATAGACAGTTATATGCAATCATTCATATGGTGTATACAGTGTTTCTACGTTTGAGTGTAGGATTCATTTCCCAACTGATCATTTGGCGTTTCCGATCAAAATCTGGCATTGTGTTAGACAGGTTGTGTGCCGTTCTGAGCTTGCTGCCTGTAACTTCAACCCCAAGAAAATGCATTGATGGTATTACTAAGTATTACTATATAAGTATATTAATTTAAATTACTAAATAAAAATTTGCAATACTACATGACGATACATGACGTATTGAAACGTTTTACACTATGGAAGTATTGCTGCTGCATTCACTTGATCTCACTTGTCTATCATCCTATCATCCTCGTCATCTGGGAGGGAGAACTTCTGGAAGTTCGTATTGAGCACATACGGAGTCAAGTCGTTTACGGGTGCCTTGGAAGCAAAGGCTCCAAGGCGCCAAGGCGCCAAGGTGGTATCAGTTTGGGATAGTTTCGTTTCTCAAACGCACGAGAAATAACGAGGTTTCACAAACTCAAACGTTTCTCAAACTACTCAGTAACTACTCAGTAACTACTCAAACTACTCAAACTACTCAAGCCACATGCTCTTTCTGCTCTTGGCTTCTTGCTTTTCGGAAGACTAGTTTCTTCCTTCAAAGCAGCACAGCATCAAAAAGTACCAAAGCCAACATGAAACAGCAATGGCAAAGGAAAGCACCATGAGACAAGTCATGAAATACTTGTTCTGAGACTACTGTATCAAACCCTGTGCAGAAATATTCTCCAGACTTGAGGAAAGTAGATACTAAACATCTCCGGCATACAAGTCCCACAAGATACCAAAAGCAACAGCCCACTTGGCTGACAAGGAAAACAAGATTTTCCCACTTGGCATGTTCGATTTTCCCTCCAACTTCTTCTCTTCTGGATGATGTTGCTATTTTGCACCAATGCCAGCACCATTTGCACAGGTTTGCGCAAGCTTGCACTGGGTCCCATGCTCTTCAGCTGTGAGCTCTGCTTGTGGCACATCCTGTCACGAGAAAAAAAACAAACATAGAGGGGGATGACAGTGGTAAAACCGTAGAACGTTTGAAGGACGGTGCTAAACAGGGCGAAGAAATACTGCAAACGTTGTCTCCACATGTCTCCACTGTCTCTGAACTTTGAAGGACGGCACTTCTTAGGTCAACTGCACTAAGCATACCTAAGAATGGCCATTGACCGTTCATAGACTTCAAGTGAAAATGCGTTCTGCCTATGGAAACGCATAGACTTTTCAGGTCTCCACATCAAGAAATTCTACGCTTTGTAACTTTGTGCATTTCCTGAACAGTTTGATATATGTTGATCTTCTCCAACTCTTCCCGTATGCACCTCCAACTCCACATCTTTCACTTCTTCCTCATCGTCCTCTAAAAGGTGCTGATCTACAATGAATCCATTTCCACTTTAAAACCTGTGAATTATGTTTTACATTTCCAGACACCATATGAAACCATGTTTTCTATGTTCTATCCGATTCTATCCCTTTCGCTCTTCAAACTCTTCATGCTTTTGATGCTCTTCATCTTCATTGTTTAGGTTTCAAGACACCGTAGCGAAAATCACGGCGTCCAAGTCCCCCAGTCACAAATCACACCTCCTTCTCGTCGAAGGGTTCGCCTCTTGTTTCGGCCTGTCTCCGAGGAAAACTGCCATGATTCCATGATGATGTCACTTAGGTTGCAAATCACACAGGGCTTAGGGGAATCAAAGATCGTGTCTTGCAGTGTTTGTTTTTTGTTTCATCCTCCTTTTCTATATTGTGCTGTTATTAGTGGTCAAGCAACTTGTGGCTTATTTGAAAACACAGACACGCTAATATACACTAATATACACTAATGAACGCTAATCTAAATAGCGCAGCTTCCCGTGAGGCCACTAGGAGTTGCTACCTAATGTCACACATTCTGCAACACATTGTGCAACACATTCTGGATGCCTCCAAACTACCCACCTTTACCAAATCCCCTCAAGTAACTCTGTGCTGAAAGATGCTGAAGATTGCTGAAGGGGGATGCTTACAGAACCTGTTTCACTGTTTCATTGTTTCAGCATTCATAAACCTTATGAATCTTATGACATTCTGATTTCACCCGTTTCACCCGTGGCGATTTCACCCACACAGTCACGGAATGTCAAGGAGAGGTCCGCTAGGAGAGGTCCGCTCAGAGGTCCTCTCGTTTTCTTCTTTCGAACTCGGCTTTTCGCTTGAGCGCATCTTGCACTTTCTTGGCCTCCACTTTCTTGGTGCGGTTCAACGGTTCTCTCTTTTTCCCAGTTCTAAGGCATTGCTTTACCAAAATTCCCGTGGTTTCCCAGCCATGTGTTGATCAAAGCAACATTGACAAACAAAAGCCCTGCCAAGTCGGCCTTGTTCTCAGGGTCTAGAGGCTGCTGTTTTTCGGCAGTTTTCTTTCTCTCCTGTCACGAAAGTTCAGCGCATCTACATCGAGTGTCAAGCGCACCCGTGTCAAAAATTTATCTAAAAGAGAAGATGCGGACCGAACATATGTGAGTGGAATATGTGGGAGAACGGGTGAATAGATAGATACATAGATACACAGATACATGAATACATAGATTCATAATTACATAGATAGATAGATAGATTAGATTAGATTAGATTAGATTAGATTAGATTGGATTGGATTAGCTTAGATTAGATTAGATTAGATAGATTAGATAGATTAGATAGATTAGATAGATTAGATAGATTAGATAGATTAGATTAGATTAGATTAGATTAGATTAGATTAGATTAGATAGATTAGATTAGATAGATTAGATTAGATTAGATAGATTAAAAAGATTAGATAGATAGATAGATTAGATTAGATTAGATTAGATTAGATTAGATTAGATTAGACTAGATTAGATTAGATTAGATAGATAGATAGATAGCTAGATAGATAGATAGAGATACATAGATAAACAGATAAACAGATTAACAGATTAACAGATAAACAGATAGCCAGATAGCCAGATAGACAGATAGACAGATGGACAGATAGACAGATAGACACAGATAGACAGATAGACAGATAGACAGATAGACAGATAGACAGGTAGACAGATAGACAGATAGACAGATAGACAGATAGACAGATAGACAGATAGACAGATAGACAGATAGACAGATAGACAGATAGAGAGATAGACAGATAGATAGACAGATAGATAGATAGATAGATAGATAGATAGAGAGATAGAGAGATAGATAGATAGATAGATAGATACATAAATGGAAAGGAAAAGGACATAATATCAAGATAAAAGTGCGCGAGTAAGCAAAGCCATAGCTGCAGGGGCTGTCCACACATGCACAGAGATAGAGATAGAGATAGACACTCTGCCGTGCCCAACCAAATTGGGTTGTTGCTTTGGCGAATCTTCTGGTGTCACTTCGCCCCTGCATCCCCTGTTTCCTCCTGAACTTTAGCCTTGAACTCTGCCGTCAGTGCCTCACGGAAAGGGCAAAGAGATAGATCCCAAAAGGAAGAGATAGAAAAAACAAAGATGCATGCAGCAAAACAAAAATTCTGATGCTAGTCGGTAAGGAAAAACCAAAAAGGTTTCGCAACACAAGGTCTAAACTTGACGACATGGGAGCAAGCAACAAAACAAACGAGAAAACAAAGAGAAATATGTATACACGTATACATTGCAATGTATCATTCCAAAAGAGCCACAATAAGAAACTGACACCATACAAAATATTGCCTCTATTCTTACGGACGCATTGCCAAAAAACAATGTGCAATGGAAAACTTCAAGAGCATATTTGTGCGTGCAACACAAGAGGAAGTAGGGAGCAAATTGCAAGGGAAGGATTGTACGTAGTTGCTATATGAAAGAGGGGCTACAATCCTCTAATATCCTCTATGTGATACCTGCAAATGAATTGTCTGCGCTATCTCATCAATACGTGACGCAAGCGCCCCCAAATCCGCCTCCTGCTTGATCCGAAGCATCATCTCCTAACGCATGGTGTGAAGGGAAAGAACGCCAAATTTCATCCACGATTCCCTCAGTCTGGTGTATCGCATTGTATCGCTTAATCCCTTGGAAAATGGAAGCATGATAATTACTTGGAAAGCAAGCAGTATTTGCGTAGTGGCTTGACTTATCCGTGAGAACAAGGTGTGGTTGCAGTGTCAAATCAATTTGTCTGAAAAGTTTTGACATGTCGTGGGTTTTTCTTGTGTTTTGGATGCTGCAATTCTGGAAAATGTTCGAATTTGCATTGCCAACTGTTCATTTCTTCATCATTCTTCTTCTCTTTTTACTTGTTTGAAATGCAAATGTGATTGCAATTTTTCCTTGCTCTGATCCACGGAATTACCTGAAGAATCTTATTGGTTCCTCATGTTTTCCTGTTCAGACAACGTTCTGAATATGGTTTCCAATCTATTTCCATTGTTGCCCGTAGTTTCATGCTGAATGGGACATGACCTCTTTATTGCGATCCTTCCAACATCTTCCAAATATAATACGGAATTACACCGCGAAGCGTGTTCTGTTTTCCTGAATGAATAGCAAAAGGTTCTTCTTTTCCTGGTGGTCATCGGGCTGTGGTCATGGGGCTGTCGCAGTTTGCCGCCGGGCTGTAAGCGGCGTCTGCCTTTTGCCTCTGGGGAAAATAAAAACCGAGTCTTTTTTGGCTTTGCGTCGGAAGATGTCGGAAGCGAGGCACTGAAAGACGAATGAGGCCTGCAAACATGCGATGCCTGGAAGCTTCGATGTGAAGTGTCCTGTTGTGTGGCACAGAAAAGATAGGAACAGAACAAGAGGGCAAAAGAATGCAAAAGAGATTTGATCAGAAAAGGACAGTAATGGAGAAGAAGAATGAGGAAGAGGGATAGACAAGCCCTGGCCAAGAGGAGCAGAGAAGAGAAGTAGAGTAGAAAGCCTCCGAGAAGCTGCAGTAGTAGGAAGAATAGAGAAGCTTTAAGAGGGAGCGAGAAGAGGTTTGGACTTAGAGCTTTGGACGAGAGAAAAGACTTCTTCGCGCAGCAGATATGCTCGGCTCATTGGCTCATGGCCCATGCGCTCAGCTCTTGTTTGGCTATGTTTGGCTATGTTTGGCTCATGGCCGTTGCGGAGGTGACCTTTTGCGCCGGGTTCGTTTTGTCTGTGCTTTTCGTGGCACATGGGCGCGTGCGGTTGCACAGGTCCACTATCTGCCATCTCGTGATTTCTCGTGCATTCGAATTGCCACAATAGGAAAAGATCTGAATGTCATCTGTCAAGAAAGTTGACGCAGACGAGAACTTTTGGGAGGTGGTCACGTTGCATTCCTGTCGCCCCCTTTTATTCTTTAGGCCTCCGTCGTGGCTTGCCCGGGCTTTACGTGTATCATATCTGTGTTTGCTTGGCATGATCTGAGCCTTCGCACTTCAGTAACTGAGCCGGGCGACATTTTCGCTCTTTATGTTATAAACTGAATTGTTATTATATGATATTATGTTAATTATATACAATAGCCTCACACAAAAACCCACACCCAAAGGCTCATCGGCACCCGTTCCTGGCTGAAAGCCCTGAAGGAGGCAGGCGGTTCACCTACTACGACAGCTGCTACGCGTTTGCAGCCGCACGCTGCCCAGCCTGGGCAAAGCTTGAAACGAGGACGCCAAATGACACAACGAAAGCTTAAAAAAACATTAAAAAAACCTCACTTTGAAATCACATCACTTATATCACGTCGTTCACATTAACAACTCATAACAACTCATAACAACTCGTTCCATGTCACGGTGCTCACACCTGGCGCCAGGCGATACTTGGCCCGTGCTCGTTCTGTGCTCGTTCTGTGCTCGTTCCGTTTTCACCGAGTCACGTGTCGTGAGCTCCTTTCGCTCCGACTTCAGCAAGTTGGATTTCATCTGCAAGCGGAGCAACCGAGCGAAGTAAACGGAGCTGAGTCTGTTAAAGCTTCAAAGTAGCTAAGTAATGAAATTGAAAATTAGTATTGCTAAGGAGCTTAAAGAAAAATTACTAAAGAAAATACTTAGTATTCAATGACTAAATATGCTAAGTAATGCTCTAAGTAAGTAAAAGATATAAAAGTCTAAGTAATGCTTTGTCAAATTGGAAATTTTAGTAACAGTAAAACAGTAATGCTAAGTAATTGGAAAAGTAATTTAGTAATTCGATTTCCATTTTCCAGATGAATTTGTGAAATTACTGCCTTTGGGCAAAGTAATATGACAAACCTGGGACTTTTATCAAAGGGTGGAACATTGCTTGGGGAATTTGTTTCTGACGTGTTGGTGTTGTTTTTTTGATTTTTTCTTGGGGTTAGGAATTTGCTGGGCAGTTAGCGGTTGTTGCTTTGTTGCTGCCACTGTCACTTAGGGCAAAACTACGCTTGCACTGCCTGCGCACAAGTGATTTTTCATTGGTGGTTGCTGCCGTTGCCGTCGTGCTGTTGGGCCAATTTGTTAAAAACTCCCGCACGAGGGCTACCTGTTGCTCCGCTGTGGCTGCTTGTGTCTGTGCTTCTGCTTGAGCTTGTGGTTGTTGTTGTGCCTGTTGCTCATGTTACTTTCGCCGCCCTTGCAGCAAAGTCTTGCTCTTCGTGTCTACCCTTCTCTCTTTGATCTGCTTGCTCTCCTTGCTCTTCTGAACCCCCCTTGGTCTCCTTGCTCTTCTTACTCTTCTTGTTTTCCTTGCTCTTGTTACTGCGCTTTCTCTTCTTACTCTTCTTGCTCTGCTTGCTCTTCTTACACTTCCTGCTTTGCTTGTTTTTGCTAGCGGGTGGAAAACCGCGCATGTAGTCGTGCAACTTTTTGAAATTGGGGTTTGGGTGGGGTGGGGTGGGGCATTAACGTTCATGTTACTTGCAATCTCAAGTGATGCTACGCTAGGGCTACGTGATTGCTTGGGGTTTGGGTGGGGTGGGCTGGGGCACTTGCAATCTCAAGTCAATGGCTAAGCAAACGCTTGGCAGACTGAAGCGGCTTGTGCAGAGGTAAAAAAAAACGACCATCATCCCAAAGCCACAAAACCCTGTAAATACCATGAAATCACTTCAACATTATTCGATTTTCCCCGGGCAAATTCATAGAAACATGACTTATAAAATGCTCAACGGCTAGCGCGGTTTCCCACCCGCCGGGTTGTTTTTCTTGCTGTTCTTACTTGTTGGTCTCCTTGCTCTTCTTTCTGCTCTTTCTCTTCTTTCTCTTCTTGCTTTGCTTGTTCTTCTTGCTGTTCATACTCTTCTGGTTGTCCTGCTCCATTTTCTGTTAGTGTTGTTGTTGTTGTTGTTGTGTTGTTGTTGTGTTGTTGTTGTTGTTGTTGTCGTCGTCGTCCATCTTGCTGCTGTCACTGCTGTTGTTGTCATTGTCGCCATTGTGGTCTTTGTGATTGTTTTTGTTTTTGTTGCTCCTGTTGCTGTTTTCTTTTTTCCATCCTCTCCTCCTCTTTCTTCTCCTTCTTGTGCATCTTCTTGTGCATCTTCTTGCGCTTCTTGTCTTGTTGTCTAGCTGTGCTAGCTGTGCTAGCTGTGCTAGCTGTGCTAGCTGTGCTTGCTGTGCTTGCTGTGCTTGCTGTGCTTGCTGTGCTTGCTGTGTGTGGTGGTTCGTTGATACTAATTGTTAGTTTCGCCTTGCTGCGTGGTGTTTGTTGCTTCTTCTTCTCTTCTTGCTGGAAATATTGCTGTGGCGTGGTGCTGATCAGTCTTTACCTTGCTTGTGATCGTTCTGCACTCAGCTTGTGCAACCAGTATGAAGGGTGACTTATGTGACTAAAGAACAGTGTTGTTGCTGTTGTTCTGGCTGCTGCTGTGGTTGTGCCTGTGCTTGCTGCCTTTGGTAGGGGATTGGCAAAACCCAAAAGCGAAGAAACAAATCTGCGACCAAGCCCAAAACAGGGAGAAAAGCAAGAAGAGCAACAAGCAACGGAAGCAAAACGCGAAGAAGCGAGACAAGCACGACAAGCAAGAAAAACAAGAATGGCAATAGCTTGAAAAGGGCAAAACAAAGGTATATTAATATAAAGGTACGCAAGATGCAAAAGAAGCAAGAAAAGCACAGAAGCAGGGAAACAAGGAAAAAACAGAAGCACAAAAGCCATGAAGCAGAAAAAGAGGCGAGGAGTATGGAATCATCCAGCCAGAAATCAGGGGAAAAAAACACATACAACATAGATCCCTCTGCATTTTTTGAAAAGCGAAATACATTTCATACTGTAAAAGCTTACATAGATTTACATAGATTTACATAGTACATATGTATAATGTACGGTACATTGCGTTACACCACACTGTAGGCGTTTCTTCGTTTCTTCGTTTCTTAGCGTCGCTTAAGCGCCGCATAAGCGCCGCAGAATGGGCCTCCATGACGACCAAATTTCGCTTCTGTAGTCCAGCCACGGCCTGGCAAAACTTCCAAACCCACGGCCTGGCTTTTGGGAAAACTTCCTTTTCCTTCTGTTCCGGAAAACCTTTTGTTTCTAAAATTTCCAAAAGTTTGCCAAAATACTCAAAATACATTATTTTACATTAAATCGGCAATAATTTTGACATATTTTTCAAATATATTTCAAATTATGTCAAAATCGTCATCTACGTCATCTTCATGATCATCATCATCATCTTCAGCTACAACATCATGACCCTGCGCAACTATAACATCTACACATCTGCAAGCAGGCGTGTAGAGGCAGGCGCATTGATCTTCTAGAATACACCTATGCAGATTGATGTTTCCAAAATGCGCCCTCTCGCAGAAAGCGCATACCCATCGTCAAAAACTGAGGCAAAATTGCAATGTTCTTGTGCCAGATGGTTTTTCTATTGCGAAGGCATGTGTGCGTAAAAGCGCCTGTGTGTAGAAACCTCTGTGCGTAAAAGCGTTCTGTGTGCTAAAGCCTCTGTAATCCTCTATATATGCAAAAGCTTTTTGTGTGTAAGTGGTTCTGCATGCAAAAGTTTCTGTGTCTAAAAGCTTATGTGTGCAAAAGCAGCTGCATGTCAAAGCTGTTTGTGTGTAGAAGCGCCTCTCTGCAGAAACGTGTGCTTGTAAAAGTTATCTGTGGGAAAGGCATCTCTGTGTAAAGGCACCTTGTGCAGAGGCATCTGTGTGGTAAACCTTTGTGTGTAAAAGCATCGGTATGCAAAAGGGTTTCTGGTAAAAACGTTCTGTGTGTAAAAATGCCTCTGCGTGGAAAAAAATGTAAAAGCAAAAGCTTTCTGTGTGTAAAAGTGTCTGCGTGTAAAAGTGTAAAAGCTATTGTGCAAATAATATGGTGTAAAAAAAAAACATCATCATCATCATCACCATCATCAAGAACAGCATCTCTATCATCAAGAACAGCATCTCTATCATCAGCAATATCACAGCACCATTGCTTCTACAAAGTTGTCTGCTGGTAGGAACCCTTCGCGTGTGTGACTTCTCTTTGGAAGCATGTGCTGCTTGTCTCCTGGTTTCCTGTCGGGTACTGTCCCTGTCGGGCAATACTGTCGTCTAGCTATGGACGAAACACATAGCTGTCATGAAGCAAACCTCTCCACCGTCTCCACCAAAGAGGGAGTCGAATCAGGCTCTCGAGGTGATCAGACGATCAGTGGAACGGTAAGGGTAACTTATGAGAAAGTTTTGAGAAAGTTCTGTTCGCATCCGAAGAGTGTAAAGGGCTTCCGAATCAGATCAAACCTGGAACCTCACGGATGCAGGAAACAGCATGTAAAGATCATGTAAAGATTTAAAGACCATACGTATTTTGGATTTTGGATTGAGCTTCATTGAGCTTTGCACTTGAAGCATACGTCTCACGCTCAGGTCGTCCAGCGCAGCAATACCGAAGCCCATCTGAGCGCAGGCACAACGGAATGTGTGGAGAAGAGTGGACACTGAAGAGACACCAAAGAGACAATGAAAAAACATGAAAAAAACATGTCATAAAGAAAAACGTGTGGATACCACAAAAATGACAAACAGTCATGATATGTCATGATACCATGTCCAACTCTACCGCATCATACCGTAGTGAAAAACTGATCACTCAGTGGCGGACTTCTGGCTTGTCATTGGAGCTTCTAGCAGCAGCCTAAGGAAATACACAAATATAAACTTGATAAAATTTGAAAGGGGCAAGCGCAATTGGGAGAAAACATGGGGGAAACCAGCAATCTGAAGGCATTTGAAGGCTAAATGATGCTAAATGCATACTGGAAAGTGGAGAAGTTTTACTGTAAAAATGTTTGATTTTGGAGACATCAGAAAACGAGAAGAGCTGCTGGTCCATGACTTGAACATACTTTGGTATCCAAATCACTCCAAATCACTTCAACATATTTCAACATTCATATTTTTTCGGACCAAAGTGACATAAAGTGACATAAAGTGACAGAAAAGCATCAGCTTTTGGCAGAGGTTCCGCATATCTGGTGATATCAAAATACAGGTCGATACCCCTGGTGGGTCGCAGGTCACCACGGGTCATCCCTTCGGGTTGCCCTTCGGGTTGCCACGCTTGATAGCCCTTGGGCCGATGGATGCCACTCTTCTCGCACCAGCGCAGCAAGGCTCTGTCGCTCAGTTCACTGAACGACCTACGGCGTCGACGCAACGTCAGTCGACTCGATCAGATCGGATCAGATCGGATCAGATCGGAGATCCCCAAAATCCACGGGAAAATCTTCGCGTGAAAATCTATGTTAATCTTCTTCATAATCTTCACCAAAATAGATCAACAGCAACTGCGCAACTTCAACTAAACCATCCTGTCGACACTTGACGTGGCAGATCTGAGAACTGCACGGATGCGATTCCAAGAACTGATCAAGCCAATCAAAGCCGCCCTCGTCTGGAAGGCTCACTGGGAAGAGGACCTGCCAGCGATTTCTGCAGTTTCCGCAGTTTCCGCGCTTTCGTGGCATGGTCAGCGATGATTTCTTTTGTGTGGATCAAGTCAACCGACCAATCCCAGAGAAAAAATTGTAGAGGTGCTGAACTTACACAAACAAAAGTTACAAATACCCTACAAAAGTTACAGGCAAAGGAGGTAAATCATCAATCCATGGAATCCAAAGTTTGGCCAACTCTTCCCCCTTGACACGGGCACCAAGATTTTCTGTGTCGCCTTCAACATACATTGCATCTTTAGATTCACAATATACAAGAAAATCTGGAAATGAAAAGCAAGAGTAGTAACATGTAGTAACTAGCTCCCTATTCGATTTCGGCATATTTCGGCATTGTTGCCTTCCCAAAAGAAGGCTTCATAGGAATGTAGCAAAATTAGAAAATTCTTTGGTGAAGGATGGTGAAGGAGAAAATCGAATTGAGGTTCTCAAATCTATCAAGGTTATTGCGGCAGCGGCTATTTGCTCTATGGGAATGCGAAGACGTCGTGGATCCTGGACAGTTGGATGCTTTTATGAATAGTGTGTGGGGGTGTGAGAACATATGAAGAACATATGAAGAATTATGTTGAATGGGGACATGGGACAAGGAGGAGAAGGTGCAAGAATGAGAGGCGCACTTTCCCATCTTTCCCCACAATTCACTATACATACGTATACATTAGCATACATAATTCCAATGCAGTTCCCCAAGATTCTCATGTCTTCCCACGTCTTCCCCACCTCATGTTGCTCATCAGGTTTTTCAACCTTGATGGTGACATCTTTCTGGGATGCATCCTGTGAGAAATTCATGGCGGCATATGGCAGCATGGCAGCAACATTGTGAAATTGTGTGAAATTGTGTGAAGTCTTTCAAACAGCTTCGACTCCCACAGCTTCGACAACACTGGCACAGTCGACCTTGACGTGCTGTCCACATGTTGTACACACGTGCTGTCCTTGACCAGACGGCAAGTGAAAGGTAGCAGCACCAAAGGCACAGGGCCGAAGTTGTAAAACACACAGATGTTCCTCAGATTCCAGGTGCAAAACATGACTCACTTGAGAAATCCTGCGCCCGGCGAAGTTCCCTTGGGCATCTAGGAAGTGTTGTGACTTTTTTTCGAGTCTCATCATGTCTCATCGGATTTCTGACCTTGTCTCGCTTGATGTCTTTTCATGTCTCGAATGTGTCCTTATCCTGTGTCCTTCACGTCATGGCTCACATCTCTTATAATACCTTATAATCTTTCAATCTCCTTCAGCAAATGTCACCTTGTTTCTGCTCTAAATATGTCCAAATTGTAATGATGGCCCGATGCGCCCTGTTTTTGTCCCCTGGCGTGTCCCGTGGCGTTGCCAGTGTGCGAACGGACCCCGGGGCACCCGCCGGGGCACCCGGCCGAAAACTCAGAGCCGGATATAATGCCTGGCACGTGGCGCACAAGACACCATGGAGGACATGGAAAAAAAACGAAAACTGTTCTCTCACTTTGATATCCTGCTAATTCCTGCTATACTGCAACAATCTGCAACACGTTATTGAACTGATTTTCTTTTTGGCCGATGTTTACTCTCCGTGTCCAATTCGGTACATTCGATCCACGTCCCGATACAGAGTCCCGATTCGTTTAAAGTTCTCTATCTTTTTAGATCTTTGCAATTTTTGGGAGAAAATTCACAAGAACAACCAGCACGCCGTGTGTGACAAAACTAAAAATGAAGTGCGCACACCTCACCAATTGGATCTGTATCTTGTGGAGCTGAGCTCTCGAGGTTCTCCTTCCCACCTCTTGATATATTGTTTATTGATGTTTATTGATGTTTATTGATGTTTATTGTTACCAATTTGTTCCGCATGTCCTTGTTCCTGCGCGGCTGGGTCTCACGTCATCTCACGTCCATTCCCGGTTTGCTCGTTTTTTCGTTTCTGCCAATTTCTGCCGGTTTCTGCCTGGTTGGCCAAAGACTCTGGAAGTGGCTGCGGCGGCGAACAACGTTGCCCGTCTTTGAAGAGGCTCACCGTCTTTGCGTTTGTGCCTGGAACTGTTTCAAGATGCCAACCACGAAAGAAAAACAACAGAAATGCCACGGTCTGTCGTAATCTCTTTCAAAATTAAAAAACATAAAGCACACCCTGTTGATACTGCACTTCCAGCAAACGGTATCTGAAATACCAACCTGTTGTGTCCATGTTGACCACCAGAGTCACCACGTCGCCGGTTGTGAACTTTGGCCCCCCGGTGCTTTTCCTAGCAGAAATTCAAAACACCATTTGACAATGAATTTAGTAGAAACAATAGACATCTCTTTCCAGCACTGCCTGTGTGTATATAAGGCTATGTTGAGGAATAAAAGGATGACGTGCAATAGGATGAAACTGTCAATGACAGCCAAAAATGGTGTGCAATGGCAGGTGACATGATCGGGATCGGGATTTCAAACTGTGCAATATATACATGGTGACTTGGGTTGTTTGAAATATCCCGATATATCGCTGTGATTTGTTGTGATTTGTTGTGATTTGTTGTTGGATGCGCTAGGTCCATCGTAGACTTCGTTAACGTCTTCGTTTGTGAACGTTCCGCGCAAGACCCTGCGTCCTTCTGCCTCGGAAGAAATTGCCGTCCGAGTCGAAACACAGCGAGTCCTATAAAAAAAGGCCATGGGTTGACATAACAATTGATATAACAAGCTAGTGACCATGTTGCAAGGGCAAAACGCAGGAAAGACCACATTCAAAAAAACTTGAGTCCCAAGGTGGGGTGAGAGCTAGGCAAAGCAAAATGGGAACATGGAGGAACAGGGCGAGGTGGAATGAGTGAAGTGGAGTCATAGGGGTGGAGTGCATTGTGTGGAGTGACTTGGAATGAGGAGGTGGAGATGGGGTTCGAATCACAAATCATGTGTTAGGCAAATGGTACTATCTATTGCACAGAGAGAGAGAGAGAGTGGGTTTTAACCTTTCTCATGATAAGGCCATGCATCTATTGTTCAGACGGGGTGGGCTTTAAGCCGTCTCATGATAAGACTGATAGGCTAGGACCTTGCATCTGTTGTTCAGAGGGGTGTGGACCTTTAATCGTTCTCAATGAGAAGACCATTCATGTCATGATGTCGTGATATTACCCGAACACTAGTTTGTTAGTGGTGTGCGAACATCTGGTCTGGTGCGATGTAGAAATTGAAGCCTGACTACCAACATCTTTGGAATTTGTATTGGAATTTCTTTCTTGTTGTCTTTCTTGTTTTCTTTCTTCTGGGCCACTTTGACACTTTGACATGGAAATGATATGAAATGATGTAGGGGCACAGGTGAAGTGATGTCCAATTTGTCCAATTTGTCCAATTTGTCCAATTATCCCTTCCCTCTGCCTGTCCCCAGGAGACGACCGCCTCTGTCTCTCCAAGAAAGAGTGAGGACGTCGTTGTGGCAACGCCAATACGCAATTGGCTCCTTGAACCCATGATCCTCGGCCGAAAGTGGGATATGCTCAACATCCGATGCAAAGGTTCATCCAACTTTAATGTTACAAGGAAAAAAATATTCATATCAATTCATATGGGTTTTATTTCATGTAGCCGCTTTGGTTCTCAAGTTTCCGGCCGATTTCGCGCGGCGGGGTCTTCATGTGGGGCGCTTCTCTCCAGGATCTTCACCTTCGCCAGGCGCTAGCGCTAAGATCTCTGAGCCAGTCTGATGCCATTCTGAGCTGTTCAAATTCTTCATGTTCTAACCAGATCTATACCATCTCAGCTTGTCTCAGCTTGTCTCAGCTTGTCTCAGCTTGTCTCAGCTATTCTCAGCTATTGTTCAGCTATTGTTCAGCTATTGTTCAGCTATTGTTCAGCTATTGTTCAGCTATTGTTCAGCTATTGTTCAGCTATTGTTCAGCTATTGTTCAGCTATTGTTCAGCTATTGTTCAGCTATTGTTCTCCCTGCTTTCGATCTGGTCAAGTATCTCAAGACAGTTCTGGTCCAAAGTCAGCATCATCACAAGATACGTTTCGGCTAAAAAGCAACATAAGATAGGTATGTTGCGGTATGTTGCATCTTCAATCGCAATCGGGAAAAACAGAAACATCTCAAGACCGTGTCGGAGAGGGGAAAAGTCCATAGTCTCAAAGTATAGATACAGAGACACAAGATGAAATGAGCATATGCAGCACGTTTCTTGCAAAAACAAAAAAAACGAAAGCACATGCAATGCTTGCAACACTTGGTCTGAAATGTCCGGCCTCGAAAGCATAGCGCCCTGATTTGAGACCTATGTTTGATCTGGCTCCTGCCATGAGGTACCTGTCACCAAGTGCTGAACAATGAAGCTGTTTCACCCCAAGAAACCTATCAGAGATGCCGCAACATGCCGCAACATGACGCAACAAGTGCTTCAAGTTCAGTACGTTTGTTAAAAGTTTTTCTTTGCAAAAAACGCGACAGGCACCAGCTACACTGACAATCGCTGACAGGGTCGAAGAACCCTTCAGAGTTTGCTCAAGAGCGAGACAAATGAGACTCTGAGCAAAACTCTGAAAGATCATGACATGATGACATGATGACATGACATGACAGTTTGTGTCCGAAATTTTGGGTTTCGTTTGCTGTTTCCTCCAAAACCTCAGGCGCACTGCAAACCGCCGTCTGTCAGCGTGGTCAACATGTTGCCGGTGCTGGAGGGTATGACATTCATCGTGGTGTCCTCGCAGCACTGACGCAGCTCTACGGCAATGCCGAACCTCCCGGCCACGATTGGCACGGACAGGTCTCGTTGCGGTCCGCGACCAATATACTGACTCAGAATACTGACTAGACTATATTTTTTAGTATATTTCAATACTTATGATTTGATGATTTCAAATTTATAACTTAAACAATTATTAAATTATATTTAATATTGTTATGTTTATGAAATTAGTTTTTTATCATCAGGCGATCACTATCCAGAGCCTCGATGTTTTGGGATTCTGGGATTCGTTGCCACTTTTTTCGAAAAAAAATCAACGAAAACGATTGAAGGATTGAAACGAACATCGGTTTTCCACGGGTTTTCCGGATGTTTTCTACGGGAAAAAATGAAAATTGTTGGTAGGTTGTGTTATTGTCTAACATTGATTAACATTGTAATTCTAAATGTTTGACTGTTACGTTTTTGTTTTATTGCTAAATGTTTTGTTAAAATTAATGGGATACTGTTTGGTTCAAATAAGGGTGATAATTGTTTTGGTTGTTGTGTTTTATGTTTGGGTTTGGGCGGGTGATTGCTTCATAATATGTTTTCTTAAAGATATTGTGAATTAATCATCCTGGTTAATCTCTCCACTTTTCATCATTTTCACCTTTTCCATCCCAAAGTTTAGAAACAATCGTTTTTATGTTGTAGAGCACTAAAATGATGGTATCTCTATCAAATCCTCGTTGGTCAATCAAGTGCCTTAACACTGACAATGGTGTATAGTAGATGTGTTGTAATGCTGTCTTTGGTGCGTATTTCCTCACCGTGTTTGCTGATTGAATCTGCATCAAAAATGTTTACATAAATTTTTTTGATAAGGTCGTGCTTTATCTCTCCGTCTTCTGCGTATTGTGGTAAAGAGTGTTCTTGCTTCAGGAGTAAGTCATAGGATACAAAATCATAATCAGGAAAAGGATTTTCTTTTATGAAGTTCGTTAGTCTCTCTCCGTCTTCATTTTCTCTCTCAATTACCATTTTGTTTTTCATAACCCATTTTCTCTCACTCTATATATATATATTGAAAAGATTCACGGCGGTCTGTTGTCCCTGCTGTTGCAGTGCGCGCCTTTTGTCTGTTGGGCTCGGACCTGTTGTCAATCCAGGATTCACTCCTGGTCTATTGCTCCAGGCTCAAGGCCTGTTAAACAAGAATGTCATGTTGGCATGACCAAATGTACAGTTGCATAGCTGTTGTACACAGAAGGGTGTGTTGTACTTAACACGGCCCCTCAGCTTGTTGAACCTTCTGTTCATCACGCTGATATAATTCTACTATTCACATGTTGAACTGAACTACAGTATGTTGCTATAAGACTTGTTGCATAGATGTTGCAAATCACCTCTGTACAAACTGATGGCATGTAGTTTTACATCTGTCGTCAACCGCAGATGTTGATGACTGCAAATCTTTTCTGTTGAATTAAAGCCGTCTTGGACTCTCAGGTGTTGAAGTCCATGTTGCTCTCATCTGCTCTGTTGATTTGGTACCTGTTGGCACCAGGGTGTTGTCTGAGCTCCACCCTCGACTGTTGATCTTGGTGTCAGTCTCACCTACTCCATGGATTGCCTCAGCCAGTGATGTTGGCTGCATCTTCACTTTCATCCATGTTGACTCCGTGTTGTGGTAGGCGTTCCATCGTGTTGCCCAATCTTCGAAGTTGGATGACGTGCTGATCCACTCTCCATGTCTGATGTGGCCACGCAGACGTTCCACTGTCTTTGTCTTGGTGCCATGAACTGGCAGTGTTGACGGCATGTTGGCAGTCAACCACCGGGTGATGTTCACCGAGCATGTTGAGAATCCTGTTGCCCTCACCATTTGTTGTCATCTTGGTGAGGATGGTGATTCCCGAGTAATCGATGGCTTGTTGGAGCAAACGCCAGTTGTGATGCTCGAGGCTCTGGCCCATCAATCTCCATTGCTGAGAAAGACATGTTGTAGCTCCAAATCACGTTGTTCTCCCAGTTCAATGTTGTTGGAATGTCCATGTCTGGAGTTACTGACTCCAATTCCCAACTCTGGATGGACGCTTTCTCGTCCGTTGTGAAGCGGATCTTGTTGCCGCACTCCAGTTGGAGTTGAGTGCGTTGGTATCCTCTGTTGAAGAAACCGATTGTGCGGTTTCCCATCCTGAACTCTTGTTGGCGCCTGTTGGGACACCACGACACCAGGATCCATGTGTTGCCATTGTTGGTGGCAACATGTAGCTCGCTGTAGTGTGGTACAAGATCGTCTCGATGGCGGCACGCGGTGTTGTGAACACGATCATCTTGTCCCATGTTGGCATGAGAAATGCCCCATCGAAACCGTTGATCTGACCCTGTTGGTCTTTCATTGTGGTGAACACCTCCGTTGTAAGAGCAAGGAACCATTGCTCCTTGCTGCATCCCTTCGAGGTGTTGGACCATTCCTCAGTCCAAGGTTGTCTGGGCTGACAACCGTTGAAGTCAGCAACGTTGACTTCACCTTGATGCTGGCTTCAGCCAGAGTCACAGCTGTTGGAGACACATAAGTTGGCTCTCCAACTACCGCAATGTTGACCAACTCAGTCATTGCTGACGTTAGTCTCGAAGTCGTTGAAAAACTGTTGACAACAAAAATGGCTGCGGCGGTCGAGACAGCTGTTGTCAACAAAATGTTGACAGATGCAAAGCCGAAACTGTTGAACTCAAAATTTCCACAAAACATGTTGTCTAAGGCAGTCATGTTGTCATACACGTCCACAATCATGTTGGATCCGATCATGTTGTAGAGGTATATGGAAAAAAGATCATGTTGAAATACACAAAGATGTAGTACGAAGATATTGATGTTATAGTCGATGTTGCTGACCATTGTCAGCACCATGGCTATGGGATGTATGTCTGTGTGTGTACGCTGCGCACGTTGCTCGCACGGTGTACACGCGTTCGCACGGTAACGCATATGGTGCAGTGAAACTGTTGTTGGTTGCTGCTGTTGCTAGTAATGCTGGGTTGTGAGCCCAGCATCGTTGAGATGCCTCAAGAGCGTCTCTGTGGCCACATACTTGGTGAAGATGTCCGCGGTGTTTTTTCGCTGTGTTGATCTTGATAACCCTCACAAGATCGTGCTGCACCAGTTGTTGGATGAAAAGGTGTTGGATGGTGTTGGGGTCCGATGTGCTTTGCTTTCTTTGAGGATCCAATCCTTGTTGCCATGCTCTTCCCGATCGAAGAGTCTGTGTGGATCCTAATGTTCACCTTCTTGGCATTGAGCGCTTCTTGTAGGATGTTTCTGATGTAAAGTGATTCTGTTGCTCCGGTGTTGATGGCATATAGCTCTGCTTCTGCACTGCTAAGTGCAATTGTTGCTTGTGTGCGGCTGCCGAAGTGGATTGTTGATCCCATGAACTTGATGACGAAACCCGATGTTGACTTCCTGGTTGTTGCGCATCCTGCCCAATCGGAGTGCACGAAGACGTCGAGGTCTGGTGTTGCGTCCATGGTTCGGACTGCTGGTCGCACATAGAACCTGTAGTGCTGTGTTCCTTCCATGTACGTGAGAAAATGCTTGGCCTTCTGCTGATCAAGTGTTGTTGGCTGTGTCAAGGATCTTGCTAGTTCCTTGGTTGCATAGCTGATGTCTGGTCGTGTGTATGTCATCCACTGTAGCTTGCCCACAGCTCTTCTGTATGCCTTGTGCTCTTCTGTTGTAAGTGGTTGTTCAACATCTGTCGATGTTGCCTTTGTTCCAGGCGCTGGTGATGCATTACAGTTGAGCGTGTCCGCTTCCTTCAATAGTTCTGTTGTGTATGTGGTTGCCAGGCTGATCTCGTAGTAATCTCCCGTGTTGGAAATGTTTCTTCCAAGAAAGTTGACATTGTTTCCTACTGTGAGGTCACCTGTTGGTCGCAGTAAATGTTGCTGTATGTCTGCGAAAAGCTTGTTGACAACTGTTGGCTATCCCAAGAATAGGAGATCATCCACATAGACGAGGATGAAGGCGTTGCCTGTTGCTGTATTGAAGACATTGGGCTCGCTTGTGAGCCGTTGCATCCCAAGTTGTTGAAATGTTTCTGCCGGGTAATTTTGCCAAGCTTTTGGGCTGCTTCTCAACCCGTAGATGGCTTTGTTGAGCTTCCACACTATGTTGTCCTCTGGCTTGTAGAACCCTGTTGGTGGAAACATGAACAAATCTTCTGTTGCAGCTTTGGCATGTAGGAATGCTGTTGAGATGTCGCCTGTTCTGACGATCCAGTTGAAGGTGAGTGCCATTGTTAATAGCAAGCGTAGGACACAGAAGATTGATGTTGACGCATATATGTCGTCATTGTCGTTGACTTCTTCTGTGTATCCTTTTGCCACTATCCTTGTTCTGACACTGTGGCCCTTTTGTCGTAGGACCCACCTTGACTTGATCACTTTGCTTTGTTGAGCTTTTGTCAGGTTGCTGAAGGAAACTTCTGTATACACTTGTTGTGTCTTCATTGACCTTATCTCTTGTTTCATTCCTGAAAATTGTTTGCTCTTTGTTCAATCCTTCAGTGTTCTTGACCCATGGTTCCAATAGGATCTTCTCTGTTGTTGCTTCTTGCTCAGCTTCATTTGACAGAGCTTTGATCTCTTGTCCTTTCTTGGTTTTCACGGTCACTGCTGTGATCCTTGTCCTTGTTGCTGGTGGTTCAGCCGTTGCCTCTGGTCTCGTTGGTGCTGTCTGTCTTGTTGCCGTCCTTTGTTGCTTGGACGCACTTCCTTCTGCTACTTCATCTGCCACGTCTCTTTTTGGTGTTGGCACTGGCAAGGGTGCTCTCTTGCTCTTTGTGTTGGTGGTGCTGTTGCCATCGGCAAGTCTGTGATGGCCGGTGGCTGGCTTGTATGTGTTGCTGATTGTGCTGCCGTTGTGGGAAATGGCTCTTCCTGTTGAAGAGGTGTTTGTGTCTCTGTTGTCGTCTGTGGTCTTGCCATCATCTTTGCGGTCGGTAGCATAACAAAGCTTGATGCTGTTGGAGTTGTCATCGGTGCGTTGTTGATGACTTGATGACATAAAGAAGTTGCTTGTTATACTTCTCAGGCTTGACCTGTCTTCTGATGGTTCTTGATCTGACCACTTTGTTGGTGATGCTTGAAGTGTCTTTGCCAAGCCAAATTGCTGGAAAGAATCTGGCTCCCATCTTTGGCATTTGTTTTGCTTTTGGCAACATGTAAAGAACTGTTTCACCACAATCACAAATTGGTGTCTTGTGTTCCTTGTTCCAGCGTCTGTAGTAGCTGGTGTTGCCATCTGCATGTATTGCATACCTGTTCAGCAGGTAGGCTGCGTGTTTCACCATCCATGGCATGATGGGATGTTTGCTTGTGAGTCGTGTGTTGTAGCTGTTTTCAAGCTGTAGCTTGAGTGCTCTCACTTGTCCCATCAATATTCGATGGAAACGTTCCACGCTGCCTTGTGCTTGTGAAGTCTATGCTGGTGGTTGTCGTACTGCTATGTTGCTTCCCATTGCTGTGGTTGTTGCTTTCAACAGTGCTGAGAAAATCCTCATTGTCTGACTGTATGATAGTGCTGTTGAGAACTGCATGTGTTCTGCCACATTCCATAAGGAATTGATGAAGGCATGTTGGCAGGTATTGCATGCTTTGTGTTTCGGGAGGGGCCTGAGGTTCTCCGATGCCGTCATGTGTCTTTCATGGTGAACATGTGAAAATTGCGCTCTCGCCTAGGTAATTTGCAAGTTTTTCAGAATATGGTTTCTGCCATTCATCATCATCTTGAACGGATCAAATTTTTTTCGTCCGTTTAACATGACATGGATGCTGTCACACTTTTCATTTGCTCAGAAGTGAAAATTTGCATTTATTGGTGCAAAATTGCGAATTTTCATCGTTGATACATCTCTTCTGGATGAAAAAGTGTTCAAAAGTGCTGGGTTTTTACAGTGATTTTGCTTGCGGTCCATTTTGTACTGTTATTCGCAATGAATTTGCATGGTCGCACAAATCAGGAGGTCTGACAGTCAGGTATTTTTTGTGTTTCGATTAAGGTTCTCCGATGGCGTCATGTGTCTTTCATGGTGAGCATGTAAAAATTGCGCTCTCGCCTAGGTAATTTGCAAGTTTTTCAAGATATAGTTTCTGCTATTCATCATCATCTTGAACGGATCAATTTTTTTTCGTCCGTTTAACATGACATGGATGCTGTCAGACTTTTCATGTGCTCAGAAGCGTAAAAGGACAACTGGCTCTGCAAGTGTAAAGAACTAAATAAATATATATATATATGTATATGTATATATATATATTTCTGTGAGTGTGTGTGTGGTGTGGGGGATATAACCACTATGAAATTGAGTTCTAAGGTGAGAGGACTATCCTTGGTGACAGTTATGCGGCCCTGTGGTCAGTTTTTTTTTCATTTCTCCCACGGTGCTTCGAGGAATGCACGGCTTGGTGCGACCAGTCCTTGAGACACGGTCGTGCGGAATCGTGCTAATGCAGAGAGCACGGCTTCAAGACCCGGGTTTTTATTTAAATAGTGAACAGCTAACGTATTTCTGTGTTCAATCGGATCCTTTGCGTTACGACTAAGTCCGTGTCTTCGGAGCTGATGTTTGGTAACAGAGGCCATGCTCTCTGCCACATTGTGTCCTCCCACCATGGTGAAGCAGTGCCTGCGTTCTACACAACACCCTTGTGTTGTCAAAGAACGCAAGACCTTCTGGACAGTCCCTTTTTAGGAATGTTGCACAATGGCGTAAACAGATGTTGCAAGTGCGATACACCACGTAAGGCAAGAGTTCCGGAGAGGGCAGCAGCGGCATGGAGTGCGGGACTTCCATCGCAGGCGGCAACATGTTTGTTTTTATCCAGCTTCGAAGTCACATGCTTTGCAGTTTCACCCAATGACTCTGCCCCCGAGCCAGGTCCTGCAGAGTTACAGCTCGGCAAGGTAAACCATTTTTCTTTTGAACCTTTCGAATTAGCAAATTGGAACACCTTAAAGAAACAGTCCTCGTTCAGCAGCTTTGGGAGGCAAAGGCAGGATGGCATACTTCCTGCTTTTGTCGATACCATTAACAGTTCGCAATTTGAAGACGATATGTCTCCCCTTGAAGATCTTCTTGGAAGAACACTTGCTCGCAGGACGTTTTCGCAACATCTTGCGAACTGTTTTTTTTACCGACTGGAGACCTTTTCTCTCCACTTTGGACCGTTTCAGACGAGCTTGGGTCATCTCCAGCTTTGACGCGTTGCGGCGAACGACTGCAGTTGCGGTATCGAATTCGAGCACACCAGCACCAAATTCGAAAGAGGATGAATCTTGGTACTCGGCCACTGCACAGGCCAGTCTAATGTCCTGTGTCCAACGCGTCAACCTGTTTTTGGACACTCCAGTCAAAAGATGTCGAAGTGCATCGGGAGGAGTGCGAATACCGATGCAGTAACAACAACGTAAAAAATTCACGTAGTCAGCATCCTCGCCTTGACGAACTTGGCTGTGCAAGGGAGTGAAAGCTTCCACAGGTCGCTGCAGGACGGGATGTCCGTAACAATTGGTGCCGCCACACTTGAGCTCATCGTCCATGCGTCTCCCGGTGCGAATCATGTCTTCTCCACAATACCAGCACAAAGGTACATCAGCAGAAAGGACACCATGGTCCCACAGGTATGTTTTGCAGACCTTCGGACCCCATTCACAGAGCTCCGGATACGAAATTTGTTTCAAGTCACGCAACACATGTGAGCCACTTCTGTCTGCTGTGGAGTAGGTCAAGCCCAGGTCATGGTGTTCCGAATTTTTCTGGCAACTGGCTCTAAGGGAAAATTTTGGCGTCTTCTCGGCCAACTTTACTCGTTTCTTGGGCATTATCAAAACTGCAGGTTTTGAGGAAAGTTGGACGCAACAATGGGTGACATAGAACTCATCAAGAAATCAATGTTGATAGAAAAAAATGCAGCATGTTTGTTCAGTCAGAAGCAAAAAAACGTCATTGCGTGCTGCAAGTAGTCTGCGTGCCTTTTTTTCTCAACGCACGGAGTTGCGTCGCAAAGCTAACTGGAGATCTTGATATTTATCTTTATGCAACTGACCAAGCTCCGCAAAGCGTTCGCGGGGAAAAGGTCGAGAAAACCAGCATAGGGGCTTGCCAGCGGCATCTTTCTTACGCCACATGGAACAATACAAAATGAGAGTGCCTGGATTTTTCGAATTGGGTCCCAAAACATGGGGTTGCATCGATCGAGACGGGTGATCCCTACAAGCTCCCCATTTGAAGCTCCTACGCAGCCTTTCCCCCAAAGATTGTCTCTCCGACGTGTCAACCACTGGGACTGGAGGAGGTGGTACTGATTCATCACCGCTGAACGATTCAATCGGATCGGGCACAGAGACGGCCATGGGAGTAGACGAACATGCCGAAGAAGATGCAGCCAGCGACAAAAAAGAATTCTGCAAAGGAACTGCAGGAACTGAATGCCTATCCCAATGCTCAATCTTCTTTCGTCTGTGAGGAGGCGAGTCGTACGGACCTGGAGGGCTCAGCGACTCACTCTCCGATTCCACCGGTCTGGGTGTTTCAATCATGGACGAAGCAGGAGCAGCAGTGACCTGGCACGGTGCTGTGCAACACAATGGAGAATGTTCCCATACAAGACTTTTCTCCCAAACACACTTCGAAGGTTCAAACAAACATCAGCAACTTTGAAACCCATAGACTTTCTGTCCAGACACTGATGAACTCGCCGGCAACGTGCTTGCCATGAAGTCCCTGTAAGGCAGACTTTCTCGGGAAGGCGTCTCATCCCGTTGCGCATTCCACTCCATGTCCCACTTCTGCCAAGAGTCTAAACTGGCATCTGAGTCACGACCCTCTGAGTCACCAGCGGCCGCAGCAGCCTCCTCTGCGACATCCATGTCTGCATCTTCCCCCATGTGCGAGCCAGCATCACTGCGAAGCGTGTCACGAGGATCCACCGGAGGCAAGCGTTCATCCAAGGCGTCCAGAGATGCGTAGAAGTTCTCCACAAACGTCTTGCGAAAAGAAGGTGCTAAACGAGCTTGCCACACCGCTATAGCATTCTGCAACATCTCCGGAGCATGTGCATTTTGCCGACGCCATCGTGCCAGAGAGTCACGCAAAACTGGGACAGAACGGAGAAGATTCTCATACTTTTCTCTGTCCACTGATGACATCACATCAGCCACCAAGGAAGCCGCTCTGTCACCGGCCAAAACGGAGGCAAGAACCTCCGGGAACATTGCACACAGTCACTTTTATACCATTATATGTCTATATATATATACATATCGATAATTATCGATATATATCTATGTAAAGATTCAGATAGATATTATGAATCTATAGGTATAGAAATCATACATATTCAAACAGATATGTATATATGTATATATACTTAAAAGCCAACAGTGTCTATCCTGAAACAGATGTTCATAAGTATATGTGTATATATATATATATACATATACATATATACAAGTATGTATAAAATCCAAATGTGCCTGGTGAACACCATCCAAATCCCAAGCGGACGCATCTTTCCAGGCATAGAGGCAAGGCGGGTCTTTCACACCCAAGAATCGCAGCAAAAGCAAGAGGGTGACCCCTTCAAGCAAAGGATACGAAACGGTATGATCTCGAAACATGGTGCCAACACAGCTGCAGCCACGGTGACAAAGGTTTGCGCTCTGCAAAGTCTTTGAACGATTAACAGAATGCAGCATTTTCAAGTCTTCTCATATTGGTCAAATATCTCCAAAAATAGACATCCGCACAACCACCACGCAGCGACACTAAAAAAGCCAAGACCCTGTGCCACTGAGCTTCGCACCTGCAGCGAAGCGAATGACAAAGTACTCTACCACAACACATATATGTCATGTATGACCATATGTATAAATATATTTATACCAGACATAGATATGTCTCTGGATCTCAACACATTGTATCGTTCCATCCTTATGATGAACAGGTTACAATAGAAACTTACACATGCACATACAAAACATATATCTCTATATATGCGGAAGGTATATATAAATATATACATTATATATAATTTGGTTATACATTACCCAAGGGGCCAAAAGTATACCGTGGACATGTTGCATCCTCAACGAGCAAGAAGCTGACAAGTAGAGTCTCAGGGAAGTGGGTCGTCAGGACGTTGTATCCCCACCCCACCCCACACACCCCAAACGGAAAAGTAAGGGTCAAGTAGTAACATGTGATCCTCAGCGAGAATAGCTCACACCGTAGTATCAGGGGTGGTAGTCAGGACGGTTGAGATCCACCCCCCCCACCCCCAACGAAGGTCACGTAGGACATGTGATCCTCAAGGAGTATATGCTCAAACAAGCCCCATAGTATCAGGACGTGGTCGTCAGGAGTTATTCCCCACCCCCCCCCAACGAAGTGTCAACGTAGTGACATGTTGCATCCTCAAGCGAGCATATATGCTGACAACGTAGTATCAAGGACGTGGTCGTCAGGACGTTGATATCCCCACCCCACCCCACCCCACCCCAACGAAGTGTCAACGTAGTGACATGTTGCATCCTCAAGCGAGCATATATGCTGACAACGTAGTATCAAGGACGTGGTCGTCAGGACGTTGATATCCCCACCCCACCCCACCCCAACGAAGTGTCAACGTAGTGACATGTTGCATCCTCAAGCGAGCATATATGCTGACAACGTAGTATCAGGGACGTGGTCGTCAGGACGTTGATATCCCCACCCCACCCCACCCCCCCCCAACGAAGTGTCAACGTAGTGACATGTTGCATCCTCAAGCGAGCATATATGCTGACAACGTAGTATCAAGGACGTGGTCGTCAGGACGTTGATATCCCCACCCCACCCCACCCCACCCCACCCACCCAACACCCCACCATCGGAGAACCCCAGGCCCCTCGGGTATATAATGCTTTGTGTTTTGTCTTCGATCTGTGCTGCCATGCACATGCCTGTTTCTACATCGATGGCTGTGAAAATTGATGACGTTACTTGCTCACCAAGTGCTTTGTAGTAGGTGATGTCACATTGAATCACCGGTGTTTTGTTGTGTTGCTTCGGGTGGTTGTCTGACCTGCCCTTTGCTTGTACACATACAGGGCACCAGCTCCTGTATGGTAAGTGTGCGAGCTCGTGTTCGAGCCTCTCTTGTGCTGTTGGTTGTTGTGGTGCTGGAAGGCCTTTTGCCTTTCTTGCTTCTTGTTGCTCCTCAACATCATCTGTGATGTCTTCATCTTTGTATGTTGTTATCCCCTCAAAGTTTGTTGAACCTGTCCACTCTTGGTCAAGTGTTGCTTGTCTCTTTGTGGCCCAGTTGTCATCTATCCTGTACCATCTTGCTCCATTTGTTGTTCTCACCATCGTTGTTCGTTCTGTTGTGAGCTTGGTGACATCTGGGCCATCGTCTGTTTGCTGTGGAATATAGAGGTCATGTCTTGGCTTGACATGTACTCTTTTCCACAAACGTCCTTCTCTGATCCAATAGTCAACTGTTGGTGGTACTGACATTGGATGTGGCACTGAAGTTGATGCAGTTGCTCTTGTTGGATCAGACGGTGGCTGCTTTGCTGTGTATCTCATCCCACAGGAGGGGTGGTCGGCTGCTTGTGCTGACATTGGGTTCCTTGCTGTTGGAACTGTCGTCCTGGTTGCTGGTAGTCTTTAGTGCTGGCATTGGCGGTGTATTGCCAGGGAGAGGTGTTCCTCTCTTGACCTTGAACCATGTTTCTCCTGTCCAAGGTTCTCCTTCAAGGATTCTCTTTTGCTGCTTGGTGTCAAGTGTTTGGTATGCATCTTCAATATTTTCATTGTTGTCATCGTTTCTTCTTGCAATTGTTCTTCTGTAGTTTTCCAACCTTGCTGTTGGGACTGGACACCGTTGGTCTGGCACAAAGAGTGCTTTGAGTTGTGTTCTGTGCGCTCTGACCAAATATCCTTGGTTGTTGAATGTCCAGAGATCATTTCTGTTCCGCAAGACCTCCATACCTGTTGGTGTCAAGGTGACTGGTGTGATCTTTGCTGTTGTGCCTTGGGTCGTTTGATGTACTTCCAGTTGCATGTTGGCTGGAATATTGACAAACTCCATTGTCATGAGGTAGAGTCCATCACGTTGAACAAGTGCTGAGTTGAATCCCTTGGTATGTGTGACTGTTGGTGTCTCATTGAGTTGTGTGTTGAACCCTTGTTCTGCCAGTCTTGTTACTGACAAGATGGGTTGTGTCACTTCGCACACGAAGAAGGGAACAACTAGTTGTTGTTTGTTTACGTTGGTCATCAGGGCCCATTTGTACCCATGCACTGGTATGTTTTCATCTATCGCTGTTCTCAGCTGTGGCCCTTGTCCATGTTCCAAGTACTTCCAAGTTGTACATGGGTGTGTTGGGCGCAAACCATGGTGGGCAGACCTGTGTTGCTGCTCCACTGTCGATCATTATATCGACTTTGTTCTCATCCTGTTGGACTGACTGAAGTGTTGATGCCATTGGCGTTGATGACATCTTGTTGTTCAGTGGTGCCACAAGATGTATGGCCGGCGATTGTTGTTCCTGCGCTGTTGTGGGTGTTGGTGCTGTCAGCGCAAGTTGTGGTGTTGGTTGAGGCTGCTGGCATTGTTGCCCATTGTCTTGGTCATAGCCTGTTTGGTCACTGCTATACCAGTGGGCATCATAGCCGTTGTTTGGGTAATACCCTTGTGCCGTGTTGTCATATGGTTGCTCGTATGTTGTATCCGACAAGTTGTAGACTGCTGTTCGACAGTCTTTGGCCAAGTGACCTGGTTGGCCACATTTGTAGCATATTGCTACTGGATTCTTTCCTTTTCCTTGATTGTTGGCTCCTTTGTTCTTTCCTTGTCCTTTGCCTGTTCCTTTCATTGGCTGCCATACTTGCTTTCCTTTCACTTTTCCTTTTGCCTTGCCGTAGCCCTTGTCGTAGCCATATCCTTTTCCTTTTCCTTTGTATCCTTTGCTTTGTTGCTTTCCTTGTATCCTTTGTTTCCTTTGCCTCTTCCTCCTTTTCCTTTGTATGTTGCTGAAATGTCCATTGGAGGCGGTCCTCCATTGTGATTGGTGCTCACTGATGACGACGCTTGTTGTTGAATCCTTGCAAAGGCCGTTGTTGTCCTGTAGTACTCTGCAATGATCTCTCTGATCATTGGGTATGTTGGTGCTTGTCCTGCGTTCAGGTGTAGATGCTGTTGCAAAGGGCCTGTAGTCTCATTTCATGAGAACTGCTATCTTGACCTGGTCAGGTAGTTGTGTATTGTGTCTCGCTCGTAGCGATCGGCTTCAAGTTCCCATATTCAGAATGACTCCTCGAAGTTGTTGTGGTTGAAGGTTGGCTTGAGCGACTTTGTGAGATAGCCAATGCTCCTTGTTCCCAGGGGGATTGAAAAGCGTTGGCAAAGTTGCCTGTATACTTCAAGACCCATTGCTGCTTGGTGTTGTCGGCACACCGTTTCTGCTGCAGCTGATATTGTGCTGATTAGGATGTGCTTGAGGTTGTTGGCTAGTTGTATCCAGCGTTTTGCTTCCTCAGGTGTTCCTGCTGCGGCTATCAGTTCTGCATCTGTGAGTACTGTTGTTGCCCTTTCTGCTCTTGCCAGCAGATCTGGGTAGAGGTTGTCTTGTATGCCCATGTGGGCTTCGAACTTGTACTTCCAGTCTTCAAATGTTGCATAGTTTCCATCATATGTTGGTGGCTTCAGCTTCAGTTTGTGTGTTGAGGCAAGTGCTTCTGTTGCTTCTTCATTTGCTGCCATAGGTGTTCCTATGTCATGACCTGTTGCCATTTCTTCTTGTTGAGGTCCCCCACACTCTTGAGTCTGGGATCAAGCCCTCTTGCTCTCCTTCACGCGCAGTTTGTTGTTGAACTTGTTTTCTCTCCTCTGTTGTTGTACTCGTGGTCTGTATTGTGTTGGGCTACTACCCAAGTGCTCCTTGCTGTTGCTTGTTTGGAGCTCACCTGGGTGCTTCCAGGATCACTGCTACGCTACCATGAAAAGATTCACGGCAGTCTGTTGTCTCTACTGTTGCAGTGCGCGCCTTTTGTCTGTCGGGCTCGGACCTGTTGTCACTCCAGGATTCACTCCTGGTCTATCGCTCCAGGCTCAAGGCCTGTTGAACCAGAATGTCATGTTGGCATGACCAAATGTACAGTTGCATAACTGTTGTACACACAAGGGTGTGTTGTACTTAGCATATTATATATATAGAGGTTTTTTTCTTTCATTTATGCTTTCCATTTTCCTATTCCATCCCACCAGTGTTCAATCACTCTGAGTTGCGTTAAGCAGGGCTTCCTGCATCATTCAACTTATCCATCGCCATTGGCAAAAGAGTTAGGTTGATAATCATAGCGTTGAATTCTCCATCACGGTCGGGTTCCTTACCACAATCAATCATTACCTTTTTTTCAGTGAGGTCTTGCCTAACGGATGAAGATCTTATCATACCATTTACTCCTTCAGTCGTTTTCAATCTGTCAATCACTTTCTTGCAAAACTTGTCTCCTTCCTCATCATCTGGTGATGGAATAGGATGACACTCCACAAAGTGTCTGATCTCTTCATCTGTTTTCTATTTTTCCCCAATCATTGTCTTGACTTTCACTGCCAAAGTCGGCATATACACCGAAACGGGAACCTTCGGGAACCTTCGGGAACCTTCGGGAACCTTCGGGAACCTTCGGGAACCTCCGGGAACCTCCGGGAACCTCAACTTGGCAAAGCACCAAGCCACACGGGGAACAAACTCTACAGCAATTTGCAGCATGGAATTCTGAAATTTGTTCTAACATGTTGTAGTAATAAAACATTCTAACTCTACAGCAAAGTCGCTTTGTATTTTATCTGACTTTGTTATGTGGCGTCCTGAATGGCTTTTGAAGGGCCCCAAAACAACAAAATACGATAATTCTCAATCAGTCTGTGACATGACCCAAACCAAACGTCCTCGGTCAGAAAGGCAGGCATCTCCTCACAAAAGATGCAAACAAGCAAAAAAAAACAGAAAGAAATTAACAAAAGATATCACAAAGGTGAAACTTTGGGGCGTGCGAACGCCACAAACAGGATGACATGTTGAAAGAACGGGCAAGCAAATATCGCAACCAAGATCTATAGCTCAAACGTTGCGCCGATTTTGGAAATAAAAGCACGCATTTAGGTGCGTAGTCGTGCCATGGTAAAATCTCAAAATTAAGAGCGCTCGTGGCATTTCATGCCCGTGCAATAGTTTTGCGCTATACAGATTCAATAGATTGCTTTTGTATGTTTTCTTGGCCCTGGAAGTGACGGAAATTCATCCGAAACCACCCCTTGACCCTGATCCGCCCCGCCCACCTGGGGGGATGCCAGAAAACAAACAGCGAAAAAAAGTAGAAATCTAAAGCCAAGAGAAAAGAATATCAGAAGTCTGAGGGGGGCAAAGGACCAGCAGCTGGAGGTTGCATTGTGTCAAACTTCTCGAAAATGCTGCATGTAAGTTAAATGGAATTTCTGTGGCGAGTGTGGTATGTTGGCGCGGTCTTTGTAAGACATTGGCAGATCTCGTTCGTGCGGCTTCCTTTGTTTCTCCTGCCTTGCAGCACCAAAGAACTTCTGCCTTGGGTCAGTGGGGAAGGCCGGGAGGGACAGGTCGGACAGGTAAGAGATTTCGGCCGAGAGCTGACAGGGAGGGGAGTAACAGCACACGTGTTGGCTGTGAAGCGTGTATATCCTCATGTGTTTCGATCTGCTTCGATCTTCTTCGCTGTAGTTTGCTGTGCCTTGGGGTTTTGCCAGTTGGTTTGAGCTCAGAAAGGTGAAAGAGGGTTCACGAAGAAGTTTGCAGGGCAACACATGGAATGAACGGAATAATGGCATTGGACAAGGATGAAAGAGGGAATTTAAAATAAGAGGGCAGAGAAGTAATCAGTAGACTACAACCGAAGCAACGGGGAAAGGGGCGAAAGTAAAAAGGAATGAAAGCAAGAGGCCAGAACAGACAACACCTGACTGCTTCCCATATCTTTCCACATCTTTTCATGTGCAGTCGGCCTGTGTTCTATCCACCTTGGAACTGCAATGGAAATTCAGGGAATCTACATTCTTACAAGAAATTCAAAGAAATTCGGCTTGTTTCATCATCTTGTTTCATCTTCTTTCTAAAGCGCCATGCATCCGATGCATCCGATGCCGATGCACGCCTTGATCCGAGCAGATTTGTCATTTGGAGCATCCTCCTCCTGCTGCACGAGGACAATGCGGAATGTCGGAAACTGAGGTGAATGTGGTGAAACTGCTTAGAGGTTGGTGTATATGGATGTCTTTTGAGCATCTTGGGAGTTTATAAGAATCTTCAAAAGAAATAACAAGAAAGTGGAAAATGAGATTTGGGGAAATCTGCGTAGCACTGATGGGAAGCATCGCAAACATTCTTCACTGGTTACGCGTTCCAACCTTTTAGACCACGAGCTGAACACGAAAAACAAGGTAGGCGGTTGATACGGCGCCCTGTGAGGGGTTGCCGATTTTAATTTTCAGATTTTCACGTCAAAAGCTGGAAACGTGGTATTTGTGGGACTTTGTAAAAGGACATTTCAAAGTCATGATCATTTTTCGATGGCAGGCGCATGACTCCAAAGTGGAAATTGGTGTTTCGCCTCAACGAAATACTAATTTTAGTCATCAGGGGCGAGAAAAAAAACATTTGATTTTTGAGGTTTTCATTTGGTGTGATTTGAAAATGTGCGTTTCGCCTCAACGAAACGCTCATTTTTGACATCCGGATGTCCCAAAAAAAATGGAAAAAATTCCGTTTTTTTTTTGAGTCTGTATAATGTGAACAACTTGCGGACAGCATCTTTTTCACTCAACGCCACAAGGTGTCGCTCAAAGTCTTTAAATTCAGCATGTTTTCACACTTGGCGTTGTGTCTCCACATATAGGAGTACGCCCATTTGAACCTCATTGGATTCACTCCTGACTGCAATTTCTGTTGAAGGCTCTGAGGTCGCATAGCATCATATATGTGAGGCAGTGCAGGACGATATTATAGCAGCGTAGCATCAAATATGTGAGGAAGTGCAGGACGATATTACAGCAGCGTAGCATCATATATGTGAGGCAGTGCAGGACGATATTATAGCAGCGTAGCATCATATATGTGAGGAAGTGCAGGACGATATTACAGCAGCGTAGCATCATATATGTGAGGCAGTGCAAGACAATATTACAGCAGCGTAGCATCATATATGTGAGGAAGTGCAGGACGATATTACAGCAGCGTAGCATCATATATGTGAGGAAGTGCAGGACGATATTACAGCAGCGTAGCATCATATATGTGAGGCAGTGCAAGACGTGTTAGCAACGTGGTCAGCGTAGCAGTACATGTGCAACGCAAGTGCACATGGAAGTAGCGTAGCGTGGCGTGTTACATGTTACGCAAGCGTACATGACGTTAGCATGCCCCACCCCACCCCACCCCCGTGCAACGTGCAGACGTGTTAGCAACGTGGTCGGCGTAGCAGTACATGTGCCACGCAAGTGCACATGGACGTAGCGTAGCGTGGCGTGTTACATGTTACGCAAGCGTTCATGACGTTAGCATGCCCCACCCCACCCCACCCCACCCCACCCCCGTGCAGCCGGTTGATACGACGCCTAAAACATTGCACATACGAAAAATATGGGGATATCAAAATTCAACACACCCTCACAGGGCGCCGTATCAACCGCCTGCCAAAAACAAGTTTGTCTTTTTGCCACGTGTCACTCTGACCACTTGACTCACAACTTGTCAATGAGCCTCCGACAGCCTTCAGTTTGTCTCAAGTACTTGAGAAATCGATGCAAATACAAATTACCAATGTGATACCTTTGTATACGTTTGTCACGTGTCTTCGCATTGAATATTTGATATCATTTGATCTTTTTTGTATTCCATGATGGGACAATTCCGTTACAAATTCGATGACAAGTTCGGTCTGAGATGGTCTGAGCCTCTTCGGTCTTGGCTTTCTTCTGTGGTGGCTCCATGGCACGCAACGTGGCAGGCTGAATCAGGCACCCTAAAATGATTCAGTAATGGTTCAGCGTCGTTGAACAAGCGCCTTGTATTACCTTGTAACGCAAAACATCTTGCACAGAATATGCTGGAATCTACTGGAATGTGCTTTCATGATTCATCACGTTCCATATCTCTATGAATTTAACTTTTTCACTCTTTGCCGGAAATTCTTTCCTTGTTTCCATGTTTTCATGCGTTAAAAGCCTGCAAAAATACTTTGGTATTACATCTGGAACAACATATATTGCCAACGCTGTGCCAAAGTTATGCATACCCAGTACGGATATACACACTTATAGGACGCGCTGGGACAAGTGAAAAAAAACTGAGTTCTATTGGAAGACACTGCGACTTGCAGCGTTGGTTCTCCAGTGATTCCAGCATATTCCAGCAGAAGAAAGCACTTCTTTTGGCGCATGGCTCTGGAGCTCTGAACAATTTGTCGAGGACCTACTGTGAAACCTGGTGAGATGACCGGAAACCCGCGAACCTTAGGAAAGGTATGGAAAACCTATGGACAATTTTTCCAACCGTCGCTTGGGATGAAGGGTCAGAATAACGGACGTATATGTATCTATGTATCTATGTCTATTGTGTGTATGGACCTATGTATCTATGTATGTGTACAATACCGGATATAATCGAAGGAAGTTTAGAAGTCAAACTTCCGACAATATGGGCAGATGAATAGCAGGGATGGGAAGAGGTAGTTTAGACACATGGACTGGAAAAATCGCAAAACGCATTGGTACGAGGCCGTCAGCGCTGCACTCAACTTTCCATTTTTGAAGGAAGTCTCGCAGAATTGCTTCGTTTTTGATGTTGTCAACTTCGAAAAATGAGGAAGGGTCGCAGAATTGCTTCGTTCTGACGTTGTCAAGTTCAAAAATTGAAGATGTCTCGCAGAATTGCTTCGTTTTTCCCCAGAGCGTCTGAGCGCAGGGTTCTTCCAATAGTGGGGGTCTGCAACTCATCTTCTCATCTTCACACCTTCTCATCTTCACACCTTCTCTCACATCTTCTCATCTTCACACCTTCTCTCATATCTTCTCATCTTCACATCTGCTCATCTTCACACCTTCTCTCATATCTTCTCATCTTCACACCTTCTCATCTTCACATCTTCTCATCTTCACATCTTCTCATCTTCACATCTGCTCATCTTCACATCTGCTCATCTTCACATCTTCTTATCTTCACATCTTCTCATCTTCACATCTGCTCATCTTCACATCTCTATCTTCACATACTCACACCTTCTCTCTCTCTCTCTCCTCTTTCCTCTCTCCTTTCTCTCTCTCCTTTCTCTCTCCCTTTTCTCTCTCTCACCTTCTTTATCTTTCTCTCTTTAGGCCGAGGGTGGTGCCGGCGGGGAGTCACGAAACGTGAACCCTTTCGCACGAAATGAGGGTCGATCGGCAAAAACTGAGGTAAAATTGCGATTTTACTTGCCCCCGAGCAACCCTTTCGCACGAAATGAGGGTCGATCGGCAAAAACTGAGGTAAAATTGCGATTTTACTTGTGCCGGAGCAACCCTTTCGCACGAAATGAGGGTCGATCGGCAAAAACTGAGGTAAAATTGCGAGTTTACTTGCCCCCGAGCAACCCTTTCGCACGAAATGAGGGTCGATCGGCAAAAACTGAGGAAAAATTGCGAGTTTACTTGCCCCCGAGCAACCTTTTCGCACGAAATGAGGGTCGATCGGCAAAAACTGAGGTAAAATTGTGATTTTACTGGTGCCGGAGCAACCCTTTCGCACGAAATGAGGGTCGATCGGCGAAAACTGAGGTAAAACTGCGATTTTACTTCTCCCCGAGCAACCCTTTCGGTCGCTCGTCAAAAACTGAGGAAAAATTGCGATTTTACGTGTCTGTGTGTAAAAGCGTCCGTGTGTAAAAGTGTTAGTGTGTAAAAGCGTCTGTGTGTAAAAACTTTTGTGTGTAAAAGCGTCTGTGTGTAAAAGTGTTTGTGTGTAAAAGTGTCTGTATGTACAAGTGTTGTGTGTAAAAGTGCCTGTGTGTCAAAGCGTCTATGTGTAAAAGCTTCTGTGTGACCGTGTGTAAAAGTTTTTGTGTGTAAAAGCGTCTACGTGTAAATGCTTCTGTGTGTAAAAGCTCCTGTGTGTAAAAGGCTCTTTGTTAAAAGTGTCTGTGTGTAAAAGTGTCTGTGTGTAAAAGTGTCTGTGTGTAAAAGCATCTGTGTAAAAGCGTATGTCTGTAAAAACTTCTGTATGTAAAAGCTTCTGTGGGTAAAAGCTTTGTATGTAAAAGTGTCTGTGTAAAAGTGTCTGTGTGTAAAAGCATCTGTGTGAAAGCGTATGTGTGTAAAAGCTTCTGTATGTAAAAGCTTCTGTGGGTAAAAGCTTTGTGTGTAAAAGGGTCTGTGCGTAAAAGGGTCTGTATGTAAAAGCGTCTGTGTGTAAAAGCTTTTGTGTGTAAAAGTGTTTGCGATGCAAACTATTGTCTTGCACTTCAGCTATTTTGTCTTAATACCCCTCTTCTCGACTGCATATAACACATCTTCAATATATTGTTTCTAATATGGTGTCTCCATACTAACAAGAGAAGACCCTGCTCCTCTACGCTCTCGGGCCATCCGTCGTCTAGTTGACGTTGCCAACGTCAAACATTGAGGACGTCACGCAGAATTGCTGCGTTTTTGATGTTGTCAAGTTCAAAACCTGAGGACGTCTCGCAGAATAGCTTCGTTTTCAAGCTTGCAGATAGATAGATACATAGATAGATAGGTAGATACTTAGATAGACAGATGAGATAGATAGATAGGTAGACAGATAGACAGATAGACAGATAGACAGATAGATAGACAGATAGATAGATAGATAGATAGGTAGATACATAGATACATAGTTAGATAGACAGATGAGATAGATAGGTAGATAGCTAGCTAGCTAGATAGATGGATGGATAGATAGATAGATAGGTAGATTGCTAGCTAGCTAGATAGATAGATGGATGGATAGATGGATGGATAGATAGACAGATGGATAGATAGAATAGATAGATAGGTAGATAGATAGATAGATAGGTGGATAGATAGATAGATAGATAGATAGATAGATAGATAGACAGATAGGTAGATAGATAGATAGATGGATAGATAGATGGATAGACAGATAGATAGATAGATAGATAGATAGATACATAGATAGATAGA